ACACACACACACACATCTCCGTCCCTTCGCGTCACTCTTCCTTCCACGCGTGCCTTTTAAAGGTCCCATGGAGAACAGCACGCGCACGGTAAATAAAGGCGCATTGCACTGTCTCGTTTCTGCAGCGTTTAACGACTCGCCCCGGCTATCTGCGGCGTTATCTGCGGCTTCTGCTGTCTTATACACCCCTCTCCTGGCCATCCAGCCAACCCTCGTTGAAAACGACTTGCTCTTTCTTCCTCCTCTTCCTTCCTCTTTCAGTTCTCAGTCGCTGGTACCACCCTTTCCACTTTCCTCCGTCCAATGCTCCATTGAATTCGGTTTAGTTTCTTCACGGCGGTATCGATCGCCACCGGAGCGTTTGTTCTTCCCTCTTATCGTTTTGTCCCGTTCCTCTTATCAATTTTTCTCGCCCTCCGCAGCGCCATCGGTGGCTGCTGCTCCTCTCGCCGCTTCCGCTCGATCCAGTTACGCCCTCGTTTGCACGTTCCGTACGCCCCGGTCCCTGCGTCGCCCCTGTTGACTTTCCTTTTAGCCGTATTTACGGATCCCATCTCTTATTTGTTTCTCCCTGCTCGATATAATTTTATTTGCAACCACTCTCGTTGTGTTTGCCTATCTTCCTTTCCCCCCTCTCTCTCTGTCTTTCTTCTTCACCTATCCAACGTGAACCAACCGATGCTACGAATCAGTCCTCGATGATACTTTCTTATTTCTCTCCTCGTTACATCACGGTCGAACGTTACTTCAATCTGTTCCAAGTTCCCCGAGGGTTCTGTAGAAACTACAATCAACAGATTCCAGGGGGGGAGGTTAGAGAATTGTTCTCTCATTTTCCATCCGTGCGGTGCAAAGAAGAAAGAATTCTCACCGATGTAACAACAATGATCCTTCCATCAGCAGCCACGTTCGAAATTGATCCTCGAGCTTTCCACGAGCAAGCGGTCTCGCTCGCCGGTTAAATATACACGCTGGCCTGCTTGTCTTTTATAGCTTCATATTTTAACCTTTCCTCTCGCACACCCCGCCCTTCCGGTTCTCTCTACCAGGCCTGTTTCTGCGCGAGGCTCAGGACGCTCTCGCTTGGTTTTCCTTTCCTTTGTTGCATCAGTAAACAGGTTAGCCAATTTTTCTGGCGCAGGAAGCAGGAACGTGAGAGAAGCACTGGAATAAGAATGTAACCGAGAGGTGCAAGAGGCGGCGGCGGCGGAGAGGTGGTGGCGGTGAAGAGGTGGCGGTAAGGAGGCGGTGGCTTTAGGTGTGCAACGTTTTACGTACACGCGAGCGTGCAGAGGCGCACAATACACACGCGTACGTGCCGTGCATATTGTTCGAGCAGGTTTTTCGACCGAGATTAAGAGC